AGAAATGATGCCTTTCACAGCGAACCGATTGGCGCATCGCGACGCGGTTTTCGGGAAATGCCTTCGCTTATGTACTGGGCTCTGTTAAGGATATGCCGAACGACCTTCAACATAAAAAAATGACGTGTTCTGAACGATTAAATGAAGACGTTGGACTTTGTTCAATACCGCTGGGCGTGCAATAAAAGGAAGTTACCGAGGAAGTTGTGTTATGCACATTAAATTATTTTGTCATATTTGACACATAGTTACGTATGTCTATGCGCACGTAAAAGTTAAGTACAAAAATCTTGCGTTCTTGTTGCTAGCAACGGGGCGGCCTCCATTGCCAAGCCAAACTGCATCAGAATAATAGAGTACTTTTGTTGGTTGCAATGCAGCTTCAGCAGAGTTGGAGAACATATCCCTGACATGGCTCGTTTCAGGGCGAGTGGTTGGTCGTCTCCCGCTGGTTGACTTATTGTAGTGTTTGCACCCCGCAGGCGGGGATGATAGCTGGCTTTGTCGCGCCTCGGAACAAGTGGTAAAAATGATAATCCTGACTTTTATCTTACTTTATTCCTAAAGCCGTACCCTTACACGTTTCAAATAAATGTCTTTCTTGGACAAATGAAAGATCAGCACAGGCGGCCTCGCCCCCTGTCCCTGGCTGGTGGAGTGCAGTGCAGTGTGATGCACCCGTGGCCGCCCACGAGGCACCGCTAGTGCGCTGGCAGTGCCTTGTCCCGCCGAGCCTACAGGTCACGACGAGTGTTGTGTCCGCGCCGTGGACCCGAACACGTCCCGGTGGCCCTGCCGGCCCTGCTGTTTGGGGTCCTCTCGCTGCCACGGGGTGGGCACGCCCGCTGCCCGCCGCCCCTACCCACACAGCAGAAGATATCATTTGCACATTGGCAGATATCTGAAAACATGTCTTTTTACCGATATCATGAAAGCAACATCATAAAGACATACAGAATATATCTTGAATGTATTTACTCAAGTTCAGATATTGTCACGACATGTCAAATCACATATCTCATGAATGATATACTGACGATATACTTTTTCAGATGTAAGAAAAATCGGTCGTCCTTACGTCGTATTTGAGATATCTAGGGAATATCGATATCCGATATTCCCTCCATGATGAGCATATGATATCGTTTCCTGACATTGCTAATATCTGTGTATATACATGGAATCGAAAATCGTTAAATGATGATGTAGACAAGGACTTGTTTAAATATACACTTTAAGATGTCAAGGCAAAGTCATTTTTGAGGTGTTCTTTTGATATCTGTTTGTTTACGTAGCGCAATGATATCAGAAATGATTTGAGAAATATTCACGTTGTGACAGAATCTTTGGTCTCTCCGAAAGATGTACAAGGTATATCTTCCTCCGATATTTTGAATGTCTCAGTGCTGTTCGCTAGATGGCGCTGTAGTTCGTTGCTACCCAGTGCTGCTATATTCCGGTGGTTCTGCGTTTGATAAATAAAGTCAACATGTTAATCATTGCGGCTCTAGGTAGAGTGTAAACTAAACATTCCGTAAAGACCTTGCGCGTGCCACTGCAATCAAAGGTACGCGTTCAGTTCTTCGCGGAAAAGAAGCGCGCGGTTAGTCCCCGCATACTTCCGTTTGTTGGGTGCTCCATGGTTCCCGAGAGCAGTGTATCTGAGATTAACCGATTCTTGAACATGCGCACGTCAGGGGGGACTTCGTCGCCACTCGCCGCCCCTTGCCATCCGTGTTGGTATAAAGGACATCTCAAACTATATCGATAAAAAAATAAAATAAAAATTGAAAGTTTCAGTCAATGAGAAATCTTTGATGTATGTCAACGAAACATCGAGTCTGCCATATTCACGAATGTATTTTGAGGATTTATCCTGTATATCTTTTTCCAGATAAAGATATCTTTTGCATGTGTTTTGTTGGCGGAAATGCAGTCTCATAGCCATCCTGGAGATATCTTGCAGATATCGAATGATCAAAACATGTACAAATTCAGATATCTGATCTCTGCCTTCTGATATCTAGCAGATATATTAGTGATGTTAATTGCTGTGTGGGTAGACCTCTTCCTTCTGTACACGGTCACACTGGCGCACTGCTCCCTGCAGGCGGCTGGCTGGCTGGTGGGTCCAACCTTCCCACCGCAGTACGACCCTACCGAGCGCCCGCAGCCCGCTCTGCTTTAGCAGCGAGTGCAGGTCGGCGCAGCCGGATGATGTCAATGGTATACAAATGGTAGTGTTACCCCAGCAGGAATACTCACGAGGATAAATTTAACACTACCCCCAACCACCACATCTATTTCCGATTATAACCATTGCTGACATCAGAGAAAGAAAAGAAACCTGGAGTCGTGGAGAAACGGCGCCAGTGGCGCTCGGCTGGCAGGCGCCGGGCGGGCCGTACCGCTCCACAGCGCTGCTGTGCGGGTCGGCCTACCCGCCCGGCGCCGACCGCTCAGTGAGCTGAGCTCCGAGGGGTTGCACCCACCACGCACACAGAAATTTTCCGTATTCAGAGCACGACAGCTATCTTCGTCACGCCTCGGTGCGACGTACAAATAAAACAGTTGGTAATAATTATAATAATAGTACTGCAGGTTTCACTTATTTTATTCTTGATGCCATACGAAGTTGTGTTAAAATTAGATGTCTTCATCTTATGACGCAGTACATGTAAATTTGCGGCGTCGCTGCCTGTACCTGGCTGGTGGACTGCATTGTGGTCCACCAGCACAAGGCCCGGCCCGTTCGGCAGCAGTTTTGCTAACCGAGTCGAAAAGTCGACACGAAACCGCACGAAACACACCCAAAGAGTGGTTTGGACCTGTGGCCGACCGCCTTTGGTAAACGCTAAGGCGCTTAAAGTGCCTTGTCCCGCCGTGCTTGTGGGTCGCGAGGAGTGTTGTCTGCGCTGTGAACCCGAACACGCCCGCACTGAGAAAAATTTTTGGTGCCAGGCACTAAAACTTTTGTGCCCAGGTCGAAAGTTTTTCGACGCACAAAAGTGTTTATTTCCAGGGGCAAAAGGCGTTTAGTGCGCCGGCTTTGGTGCCAGGCGCTGAATAGATCAGGCAGTGGCACTAAAGAATATGCAAGCTCAGGCATTAACTAAGTCTTTTTTCCCGAACGTTAACTGGGTACGATGACACGAACAATATTTTTTTTCTGGATTTGGTCCAAACTCTGCAACAAAGGAGTGAAACAGCGCAGTTGTCTTTCTTACGGGTGGAATAGCCTTACACTTGTCGTGCAAGAAGTTCCTTTACAAAAATTTGCGCCATGGTTTGAAAAGGCGGCGAGTGGCGGCACCCTATTGATAGACGCGCCAGTGATGTAGAGAAACTGCCCAAGCACCTGATGCTGTGTGCACCCGGGGCACCCAGCGAGATGCAAGGCAGGCATTTCGATAGTGGTGCCATCTAGCGGTGACATCCGAACTACTCAATCTTGCATACTTCGTTCATCAAACAAAGTTCACCTCAGCCTGTAGCACAAGACGTGTTTGGCGCCTGGCGCTAAACCCCATTATTGCTACACCTCGGAACTTCTATTGGCTAGCACTAAACTTTTTGTCCCGGGCACAAAGTGGGACGCATTAAACAAGTGTTTAGTGCCGGGAACCAAAAATTTTTCTCAGTGCGGTGGCCCTGCCTGCCCCGCTGCTCGGGGTCCTCTCGCTGCCACAGGGTGGCGGCGCACGACCGCTGCTCCTACCTATGCCTCTTCCTCCCTCACACGGTCACACGTGCTGCACAGCACCTCGGCCCCGGGCAGCACCCGCCGCACCTCTGCGCGCTGCTCCCTGCAGGCGGCTGGCTCGTGGCGGTACCAGTCCCTCCGCAGCACGAGCCTCCTGAGCGCCCGCAGGCCGCTCTGCTGCAGCAGCGAGTGCAGGTCGCCGCAGCTCTTTGGCCATACACGACTCCCCGCCGTGCCCACCACCAGCTCCAGCTCCTCCAGCGTGCAGCCGTGCGCCCGCAGCAGGGACTGTGTCGTGGCGCGGGGGAGGTCCTCCATCCTGAGCCACTGCAGGCCGGCGTGTCCCGGCGGCAGCGCGGGCAGCTCGGGGGGCTGGGCGAGCAGGTCAGTATCACCCACCACGTCCAGCCTCCTCAGCCGCGGCATGGCATGCACCGCGCGCAGGTGGGCCTCGCGGGGGTAGTCCACACGCAGCCGCTCCAGCGTGGGCGCGGCGCGATGCAGCAGCTGGAGGCTCCAGGCGGGGTGGAAGTTGCAGTACACATTGACCAGCCGGGTCACCTGCCGCAGTACACAGTCACTCTCAGGGCGGCCGATAACGTGCGGCACTGTCTGCAGTGTACGGGGCCGCTCCCAGCAGTCTCGTGCGGGCCGGGAGGCTCGAGGACACCGGCGCACACTCACCCTAGGGCTGTGCGATGTTCCGATATTTCGATATCGATACGATATTGTGTGATATCGAGGGCTCGATATTTTCCTGATCTCGATGTTGAAATATCGAGGTTGCTCGGTGCCCCGAAATATCGCGACATCGAAATATCGATGCTGGTCGGTATTACGATATATCGCGATATATCGGAAATTTTCAAACATATCGTTCCTCGATATGGTTCGATACTGCGATATTACTCGATATAATCGAGACTCGATGCTCGATACATGGTCGATATCGTATCGCGATATCAAAATCTGCATATCGCACAGCCCTAACTCACCCCTGGCGCGTCCCGCAGCACGGAAGCCTTCTCCTGCTGCGGGTCGCGGTCGAGTCTTCTTTGGCTGATACTGAACACATCCATCTCCCGTGGGGGCAGCGCCTCGGCAGGTGGTGGGTCCCAGACGTCAAGGGGAGCTTCAGGTGGTGTGGGTGCAGCTGCAGGGGTTGGGTCCGGTGGAGCAGCTCGGTCCTGCACAACCACACTGGGTGTAGTACACG